TTGTAAGAACGCGATTTCTTCAGCCAGATTGAGCTCTGCAATGCAGCCCACTAGGGTAGAGATGCGTGAACCCCTTGGCCTATTGAATCCATTCATTATTATGTTTAGGAAGCTTACCAGTCTTTGGAGGCAAAAATCGCTGCACCAACATGATTTTCAGAAGCATATCGCAAACACGGTCGTATCTCAACGCCTGATCGATCGTCGAACAAAAGCAGATAGCGAAAAACCTATGGAGGATGATGATACGAAAGACTAGACTTACGTGTTCTTTAAACCGAGGATCCGATTTCCATGAACGCTTCACGATATTAGGATCCGCTGTTAATTGATCATACGCAGTTTCGTAGCATTTATGTTTTTGAAATGCAGTGATTGTCTCCCGAAATTTGGCCTTGATACGATCTGTAATACGCAGCTTCATTCTAGAGCATACGTCAAATAGTGAAAGTTATCACTTACTCAGTCATTTTGTGTGTGACAAAACCGAGCATTGCGTCAACTGTGAGTGATGAAGCCAAGTCGTCCGCTTCCGCCAATTCCCTCCATGTCATTCGATGGCACCCGGTAATAACCGGAATTGAGGTTTTCTTTTTGTTGGAGTTCATAGGATAAATAATGTCAGGGTCGCCAAAAAATACGCCAAACGAAAACCGCTATACTGATTCTGAGCTGTGTAATTCACAAAACCAAGCCACCAAGCCAGTGCACCAAGCCACGATAAATGTGCATTTCTCCGGCTGAAACAATGAAGACAGATAATCACATATGCAATTCAAGATTACGCTACAACAATCACAAGTTGTTCAATTCATTACGGCACTGCGTTCAGTTTATGCAACGAATAACCTTCCATTTTCGAGCAGAGGTTGAGGTTGTTTTCTTTTGACCAAACATTTCGTCAAACAATAACGAAATAGACGGCGTAGGTAGAAAACTGGGAGTTAAACCAAGATACAGACGGGTTCGGGTTGCCTAAATGGGCGAAGAAAGTAACTAGATGAATAAGCGTCACTGTTGACACCACTCAACCGAATCATTCTGTCTCTAACCATAGATTAGATTAGATTGATCCGTTTTTTATTACACACTTTCGTGTGATGAACAGCAGACGGGGTGGAACCCCATAATCACCAGGACCTGCTGTTCAGTGATGGAAACCGGTAACCCAAACCCCAGGACTTGGAGCGGTAAACCATATAAGGCCCCGATAGGTTGGGTGTGGTATTGAACCGGACGACAGCAGAGCTGCCTACCACCAAAGTCGGGTGGCGGTGTCGAGGCTCGGACATCAGACCATGGGGTCTAAAGCACGCCGGTGATAGTGTCATCAGTCACGGACCCTAAGGCAATCTAAGTGATCGAGTCCACTGGTCAGGGTTTTCATAGTGTAAAATGTTGCTACAAGATTGGGTTGTTCCAGGGCCCAGTCTCACCATAAGTAGTAGAGAAAGTAGACAAATTTTGCTATCTAGGCAGCTATATCTCACCCGACGGACGCATCACAGATGAAGTGTCGGCGCGCATACAAAAGGCTCGATTGGCATTTGCCAACTTGAGACATTTGTGGAGCCATCGCGACATCCGACTGTCTGTGAAGGGTCGAGTGTATGCTGCAGCAGTTCGGCCAGTCCTGTTCTACGGTGCAGAGACTTGGCCACTACGAGAACAGGATAAAAATAGATTTTCGGTGTTCGAACACCGCTGTGTGCGCCGCATTGCACGAGTTTGGTGGGGTAACCGGACTAGCAATGCCGAGGCCAGGCGTACGGTTTTAGGCAGTTGCGGTCGTCCGCTGAAGCAAGTGATCAACCTCATAGATTACTTTGGTTGGGGCACGTTTTACGCATGTCACCAAATAGGTTGCCAAAGCGAGTGACGTTTGCCGAGGAAGGTAGTGGTTGGAAAAAGGTCAAGGGTGGTCAAACAAAGATCTGGCAGGAGGGTATGAAAACCCTAACCAGGAGACTAGGTCACATAGGCTCCCTGGCTGGTGACCCCGAGATCATGGTCACCGATGGTTAGAGACGGAGTGATACGGCTGGATATCGCAAACATTGGCACTCGCGAATCCACTCATTATTCTCCTAACACCGCTCTATACAAATTCTCCATCTCCCGCTTGAATATGCTTTCGACATTCCAATCTGCATTCTGCTCTTTTATTCAAAAGGGGCACCAAAAGACCGCAACCAAGACCGGCCCACGAAAGATCATGGTTATTGATTGTAAAAGCTGAACTGAAAAACCGTTTTCATAGCCTCATGACAAGTGTTAGTCTGAACACCCTTAACCTTCCAACCGCGACCCACTATCAGAAAGCATCGCACGACCATGAAGCCCATCTCGTGGCACGCGGCATATGTACTTTACTTATTGCAATCTATACCGGTTAGGTACTCGCGTCTGTGATCGCTATCACGTTACACTCTTCGTTTAACCTCGGTATCGCTTGCCTGACAGACCCATGACACCAGAACAATGTGACGCGGAAAGTGGTCATTGGACAATCATAGTCTACCTTTACTGTGTTTCCGTGATGGTTGTCTGAACCATAGAGCAGAAACGACCGAACTACAATAGCATACACTGAACCGTTCATAGATAGCCGGATTTCCCGATAGAGATATGGGTGTCCCAAGTTGGCAAAACTCCAACCGAGCTCTGAATGTGCGTGCCAAAACTTTAGCCGTGGTTCATCCACCAGATGAGATCGAGCTACTGAAATGACAAAACTTTGTCCACTTTGTCTCTATTCATTCCTTATTGACCGAAAAAATCACCACCATCGCGCAGAGTCATACAGTGAAACGAACTTCACTGATCGCTGTCAAACTGAAAAACGCACAGCGCTATTAGGTAGAATAGGTGTCTCCCGTCTTTCAGATTGTTTGGCACAGTCTGGCCTCAAACGTGTGAAATACATATATTCAGGTAAACTGCGACGAGCAGGTGAGAGACACTGATGGATATGCAACCAACTGACAGTAGTGGAGTTCTTGTTGCAATTTCTTATCAGATCAGGATGCTTGAAAAGGAATGCATGCACAGTTAATTTTTGCACTCTGGGTTGACTAGAAGTTCACTTTATTTTCCGTTCTCTAATTAGGCCTGATTCATCTCCATTTTGTCCTTCATCACTTAATTTGTCATCAACATCATCGTACAGCGAAATACAGTGAGGCAAACTTCACTGACCGCAGCCAAACTCACAATGCATACAAGGTTTGTGGTAAAAATTTAAGTTGAACAGGGGTTGGATTTATTTTGAGGGAGGGAGAAGATGAGCCACTATGGTCAACACAGAGTACGCAATCGAACTCTGCATACATACCGTTTCAAATTCTGACCTGATGAGAAACGAGAACGACTTAATTTGTATACACTGGGAGCTTGATAGTTCGCTTAACTGTATCTGGCTGTACGATGATGAGGACGATGCGGTTACCAAACTCATAAAGCACACAAGTTAAGTGTGAACGTGTAAGGAGGATGGGGTCTATTCCAGGAACGGAGAAAGAAAGCGAAACCATGTGGTCAGCAAACGGAGTACACAGTCCAAATGCGCATTTTTGAATGTTTATTACACATCTTTTAGTGTGATGATTAGCAGACGGGGTAAGTCCCCTAATCACGAAGGCCCGCTATTCAGTGATAGCAACCGGTAACCTAAACCCCCGGATTAGGAGTGGCGGACCACCGAAGGCTCCGCCAGGTCATGCGTGGTACTGAACAGGACAACAACCGAGCTGCCTACAATCAAAATTGGGTGGCGGTGATGGGGCTCGAACCTCGAACCATAGGGTCCAAAGCACACCTGGGACAGCGACTGAAACTCTGCGCCACCACGAATAATACATACTATTTCCAAAATTCTGGCCTGATAAGATATCAGAAGAGTTTCAGTTTCTACAACCATTAGCCATGCACTTCCGTTCGCCGGTTTTGGTTGCCCATTTGAATAAAAGAGGAGAATGTAAATTGGAACTTTGAGAGCAGAGTCCAAGTGAACATAACGAATTCATTCAGACTGGGGTTGCAAGAATATTGAGTAGATGCATGAGCGCCATTGTTTGCGACACCCAGTCATATCACTCAATATCTTTAACCACCGGTTACCATGATCTCGGGGTCCCCATCCAACACTGGGTCTCCTGGCTACTGTTTTCATATCTTCGGGTCAGGTTTTAGTTTGAACACCCTTGACTTTTTTCTATCCACTAACAATTGCGCACCATGGTAACCTACTTGGTGACATGCGTAACACATGTCCCAACCAGCGTAGTCTACGAAGGTCGACCACTTGGTCCAGTGGAGGACCGCGATTAAGTAAAACTCTGCACCTAACCTCAGCATTGCTTATCCGCTGTCCCCTCCAAACTCGGGCATTGCGACGTAGACAGCGGTGTTCGAACACCGACAAATAG